CAGCTGCCCAATCACCTTTACAGTGGTGAGAAGGGTCACCAATCCCCCTCTTCCCCAGTCTGCAGTGGTTCCCTGGCTATCCTGTTCCCCAGGTCTCCTCTGTGACCAAGTAACCTGGAAACAATGATAATTTAATCACTCCCAGTTTCAAAGCTGTTATTCCCTGGATGCTACAGTCAGGGAAGCAGCAAATCAAGCACTATCTATGTTTAATTAGCTGCTGCAGAGGGCAGCAGCTACTAGACTCCTGATGTATCCATAAACAGTACCTGTCACCTACCCAAAGCTATTACATAGCCATCTTCTTAGCCGCCTTGTGATAGCAATACAATTACATAAAAAAAGTTAAAATAATTTAAAAAATGTAAAAGCAACCCCAGTGCATACATGCAAATGTAAACATGACAGTAGGTTCCGCACATGTATGTAAACAGTGATTGCACCACTTGTGTGAGGTATTGCTACAAACATCTGTGAGGGAAATAATTCTGTGGCCATCATTCACAATTAACTCTACACTAATAACCTGTAAAGGCTTTTAAAAAGCCATCTATAAAAAATTTTAGGTACTGTTGCCATTTCACAGGCACACACAATTTTGAGTTTTGACATGTTTGGTATCTATTTACTTGATGCAACATCATCTTTTATATTTTACCAAACAATTGGGTATTATATTGAGTTTTTGCGCATTAAAATTAATTTCAGTGTATTTGGTCAGAGACAGCTAACATGGCTGTGGTCTTTTTCCATAAATTCTCCCTAGTTAAGCAGGTGGAAGGTATCATCCACACTAGTGATCCACACTATCCAAGTCAGAGTCCTTAAGGGTGATGGTTGTAGCCCCCCCTCTGCCCTGAACTGCAAGTTGGTCAGACCAGGTGGATCCCTGTGCTTGGTATCTGCCCCGTGTGCTTGAGAGAATCCAGCTTGGGGTACTCACAGGCCAGTCTGCTAGAGCAAGTGGGTTAATATCCGATTGCCTCACGGGGGGGATCAGGAAGGATTTTGTTCTCCCAGCAGGAGCAAATTAGATCATGCTTTGCTGGGGTTTTTTTTGCCTTCCTCTGGATCAACTGTGCGTATAGGATCATAACTTTTTTTTTTTTTTAAACTGGTTTAACTGGATGGACTTTTGTCTTTTTTCAGCCAGACTAACTATGTAACCGCTGATTGTGACCATAGGTAGCAGAACACCAAAGTCTGGATGGCAGTGGTGCTGTAGAGCAGCAGCGGGGGAGCCTGCAACCTGCTTTTGCAGGTGCAGAAAAAAGGTGTATGCATTGCAGTAAGATCATGTAAAAGGCAAGTTCAGTGCAGAGCTGGCAAAGGACACTAAATGTAAATAATTGGTATTAACCTTTAGAGAGCAACACAAATAATCATGGCCGCCACTACCAAGTTAAACACTTAAGGAATGTGAAATGCAACCTTTAGCACACACATGCTTCCATAAGGGTGTGAGGCCCTTGCTTAACACAGATGAAACCTCCTGTGCACTCCTACGAGATAGAAGATTGAGGAGAAAGCAACATGCCCCTCTCAAACTCTTTGCCCTCACTGTAAGCATACCACTAAAGGGTCTTCAGGAAAAGGGTTTTCACGAGATGGGAGGTCCATAGCCAGACCTGGACCTGTAAAGCACTCTGTGGTTGCCTCATCGTGTTGCAGCACGTGCCTTGGTTAGTGATGGATGAAACAATAAAGGTCAGCCCAGATTCTTCTCCATGGTGGGGTCCAGGTACTGCCTCCAAGGCTATGCCTAGGATTAGCTTTTCTGGAAAGCTAAAAAGAAGGGTCGCCACAGCCACTGAAGAAAATTCTTGATAAAAGAGGGTAGCCACTGAAGAAAATTCTTGATAAAAGAGGGTAGCTTTTCTCAGAGTAGAGGGAGTATGTTCTTTCTCCTACAACACTAACAGAAAAAGGGATACTAGATGTAAGAGGGGCTATACTCAGCTGTCCATGCAGCTTTGTTTTGCCAGTGTCCTAAAAATGGCAACATAACCCTATCCTAGTGAATACTGCCCTGTATCCTGTGATGTATGAATAAGAAATTATTTTTATGGTACAATATATGAAAAAAGGTGTGGAGTTTTTTTTTTTTATTATTGTGTGTATTTTCTTGTTATGCAACATTGACAAAAGTAACAAACAAAATGAATGAAAATGAAAATATACTGTTGGTAAAAAAATTTAAACAAACAACCCCCCCCCCAGAAATGTAATAGTTGTTAAGGGAGGATGGGATGAAAGGAGTTATTCATGGTTGACTTAGAGGTTAATAAGGGATTACAATTAACCACTTCCAGTCTGGACACTTTCACCCCCTTCCTGTCCAGGCCAATTTTCAGCTCTATCACACTTTGAATGACAATTGCGCGGTCATGCAACACTGTACCAATATGAATTTTTAAGCATTTTTTTGAGATAGATTAAGCTTTATTTTGGTGATATTTATTCACGACTGGAATTTTTTTTTTTTTTTGCTATGTAAATGAAAGTCCAAAAATTTTGAAAAAAAAAGTGTTTTTTGTATAAAATTTTGCAAATAAATAATATTTCATCATAAATCTTAGCCAAAATGTATTCCGTTATCTTTTTAGTAAAAAAAACCCCAAAAAACCCAAATTAGTTTATAACCAAAAATTATAATTTTTAAACTTTTACATTTTTTTTTTTTTTTTAATATTATTATGGTTTTTTTTTTTTTACATACTGTCACCCTAGCAGTACAGTGTCACCATGGTGACACTGTACTACTTGTGGGCAGTGATGAAGATTTTTTTTTTCTACATTGATTGCTTTTACACTCATAAAGGCTGTAAAAGCAATAATTTCTCCTTCTCTCTGGCTGCATCCTTGCAGCCATTGAGAACTACTGTGTGAGCTATGATTGGTTACAGAATAAAAACAGCAATAAAAGTGAGCGCTCTTTTAGTAAGCAGCTGAACACCCATGGAAACCAAAAAAAACCTCGTCATATACATATAAAATATGTGCAGCGCTAATCAACAAATCAAATGGAGCAAGGTATGATAATTGTCCCCAATATCAAAAACTGTAAATAAGTGACAGTCTATATGATGGAAATATCGTGAAATATGACTTCAATCCAGTGGTGGTGCTCCCAGTCGTAAGGTAAGAATTACGCACTCACCAGCTACTGAGAGGAGGCCTGAGCAGAGGCCTTGTACTTCAAGGAGACTGTGCCAGGGGAGCTATATTATTTATAGAGCCCTGCTGCAATCCAGTTTCTGGTCCACCGTATCCATCGAAAGGGAAGCACCTGTAAGCAGGCATCTCTACCCACCTATCCCTTAAAAGGACCTCTGGCCAGCTGGATCTACTCACATCCTCTGAGGGCTCATATCCTTATTACCTGGAGGGAGAATCACGTTGTGTTCCAGTCCAGACCTATACCTGTGAAGGGGATTCCTGTTGATATACACACTGCGTAATTTAATTACGCTTCTGGTGAGTGCGTAATGCTTACCTTACCACTGGGAATTCATATTTCACTATATTTCCATCATATAGACTGTCACTTTTTTACGGTTTTTGATATTGGGGACATTTATTATACCTTGCTCCATTTGATTTGTTGATTAGTGCTGCACATATTTTATATGCAATTGGTTACAGCTTGTCACATGGTACAAGGCTGTTGTGAATAGCCTTGTACCATGTGACCTCTGTGATCATTCACAGATTTCACACGTAGTAAGCAATGATGTCAGAAGTGACATCTTGCTTACTACTCTGCATGTGATCACTGATTGGCCAATCAGTGATCACATGATCGGGACCTCGCACAAAGGTCCCGCCCGACGAACCGTGGTCCGGAGGACACATCGGGCAACGGATTGCGGTGCTGTGCGCTCCCAGGGAGCGCACACAAGCAGGGGGCGGGGAGGCAGTTTATAAACGGCCACCCGACCCTGCACTGCCACTGTACAGCCGTTTATATACAATGGACAGATGGGAGGTGGTTAAAAAAAGTAACTCATAAGGTTTCTGTAAGTGATGTCATATGCAGCTGAAAGGTCACACTTTTAATCTACTTATGAATGAAACAGTAAATATAAATTAAACACCACTTTGTTACATTGTATTTACGCATGCCACTTGCTATCTGCAAGTGTCATTTTACACAGGAGCAGATGCATTTTGGTATTTTGACAGCCAGTAGTTGCCGGTAATAGTGGCAGGGGGAGTGGTGGCAGTGGAAAAGCAGCTAGACAGTAAGAAATGTGTCCTAAAAACATTGTTGAAGATTTTTCAGGGTGCATCTCTTACGTTCAAAATTCTCAAGAAGTTAAAGGAAATCACATCTAATTTGTACAGATCCCAATTCAACTATACAGGTGTACCTTGGTTTACGAATTTAATGCATTCTCCGGGACATTTGGTATTGCGAAAAATTCGTAAACCGAAATGCGGTTCCCATAGGAATGCATTGAAAACCAATTAATCCGTTCCAGAGGTCAGAAAAAAGTAAGAAAAAAAAAAAGTCGCAGACACTATAGGTCAGTGCCCGATTTTAAATGTAATTACCAGCATTTTTTTTTCCTTCACTATAGCTCAGAGAATCAGCTGTCACTTTCCCCCCAGCTAAAAGAAAGAAAATTTCCTTTTAGTTTATTTCTCTGTGTTAAAAGAAACAAATGTTTCCTTTTAGTTTGTTTACCCGAGATAAAAAAAGCAAAGTATCCTTTAGCTCCAGGGAAAGTGGCAGCTAATTCTGTGAGCTATAGTGAAGAGGGAAAAAAAAAGACGGCAATTGTATATAAAAATCGTCACCGACATACACTTGGTATTGCGAAAAAAAATTTGTAAACAAATTGTAAACCGAGGCATTATTTTCAATGGATTTTCATTCGGAAACCAAAAATTACGTTAACTGAGGCATTCGTACACCGAAGTACACCTGTATAAGCATGATATGGTACAATAAGCCTTCACACTGTTGTCCACATGAAAATTTGTAGGAAATGTACCGTTTTTGTATATTTTTTCAAACTGTGCTTGCTCTTCAATTCTCTGTCCAATATGCAGCACACCAAGTCTCTAAAATAGGAAACAAATGAAAAATGCAAAATGCTAAGTAAACAGAACTGACATTGCCCAGTAAACAGAACTAAAATTAAAAGCAAAAACATATTCATAAATGTAAATAATACCAACAGACATAACATTTTCCATAGCAGTTTGCTAAAAAAAACTTTCACAAATGTTAATAAGTTATAAAAAAAATCCCAGTAAGCTCAAAGTGGTATTTCAGTTTTTTTGCAGGTTACATCACCTTTTGGTTAAACATTAAAAAAGCATTTTGGTACTCATAAAATTGTTTTCTTGAATTCAGATAAGGGACATAGGAAGTCTTTTACCTTCAGATTATACTGCTGCTAAAAAAAAACAGTTGTAGGCCAGCCCAGGATAACCCCTCACTACCAGCAAGCCTTCATTTTGAAGCAAAGCAGTATTGAGAACATAATCAAAAACACTGATGGTCAGGACCAGTGTTCCTCAATGGACTCCAAGAAAAGGATTTTATGGATACCAACAGCAGTCCTCCAATATAAAATATAATAATACAATCATTTAACTTACTGTATTTTACAGTCAACAGTACAACACGTAGATCTTGATGATAACTATGACATTTAAAAACCACATAGGTTTATACATGTTCCAAACACCACTCCAACGTGTATTCATTAGAATGGTGACATATCACTATATGTAAATACAAACAAATAGAAGACTGAAACTTGGCGCAGAATGTCCCTTGAAGACCATGTGGGTCAGGTGTTCCTTGGACACAGGATCCAGAGAATAACACTCTAACCACAGTGCTTCATGCATTTGTATTGACAAAAGGCTGATGCAGGAGGCAAGCTAAATTGTTTCCAGCAGGTCATCACAGCTGAAGTGTGAAGCTCCATTCATTTTCTCCACATGCTCTATCAGTGAAGGACCCACTGCCACAGACCTTGTATAAGGGCTTTTGACTATTCTGCCATGGTTTGGCAATCTAAAGTCACTGCCAGATTGGAACAAAGGGCAGAGTCTGCCAGCAAGAACTTAAAAGGGTTTCCAACCACTCATCAGTAGGATTTTGGAATACAGGAATGTCCCCTACTACCATAGTGAAAGCATATATCGCCAGCACACCATGGATCTTCAAAATAACATCCAAAAATGTAACAAACTGATCACATCCCAGCAGTACAATTGAAAAGTTTCAGGGGCACACAGAACCCCTTCTATCAGGCATGCGATGTCAATGAGATTTTAATACATAAAAAGTTGCAAAGTCATTTTTAGGCTTTGCTTACATCAATCATATTTTGAAATAGCAATATTGTTGCTTTTCAAGGATAAAATATACTCAGCTAGGGAAGAGAAATGACAATCACAGTATACAAATTTGCTTCAATACCTGCGATGAGAAGTTACCCATATATGATGTCATAACACTTACATACAACCCATGTGTATTAGGTACGGTAGACACTTTGACATTCTGGCAATTCCTTAACTAATATTCTACATTGCTTTGAACAATTTTCTAAAAATGAAACTGAAAAAAAGAAAAAGACAAATGACATACTTGTAATTGTGCTTGAAGAGAGCGGTGTGCCAAGAGACTCTGGATAACATTCGTACGATCCAAGCAGTCCATGCAGTTGCTTCTGAATACTCCATCTTGCTGCAATAACACTTTCCCTTCAGAGTCCACTAAAAAGTAGCTTTAAGGAAAACAGATACAGAAATACATGAATAAAGCAATACAATCCCCAAAAAGCCTACACACAGTACCACACAATTCTAGTGCACATTACTGCATTCATTTTCCCATTTTCACAGATATTTTCAATATTGACCTTCACTGTGTAATATACTGCAGGAAAACACATCAATTATCATGTAATAGCATTTGTTTCTAATGCAGGGGTACACATCTAGATGGACTGGTGTCTTTTTTTCAACCAAACTAGGTAACTATATGACATCCAACTAACACAATGTATAATCCCAGCTACCTGGCTATTAGTCTGATAACTTTGTTCACACAGCCAGAGAAGACTTGTTCTCATGCTAGGTACACGCATTACGTTTTTTTTTTGTCCAACCCAGCAGGCTGAATGAAATAAAAAAAAAAAAAAAAAAACCTGACAGGTTGCTGTACTAACTATGTGACGTTAGTGTGGTGATCTCTCCCGCTAAGTTATTGTGTTCTGACAAGGCACATCCCCCCCCCACCACCAGAACACACTGATCAGGATTTCCAGCATTCCAGCATGCCTGTTCAACAGAAGCCAGGTGCTAGATTGGCTTCTTTTGGAAAGGATGCTATCTATATACACTGGCTGAATATGTCTGTTGAACTGGTTGATATTTGGCACATGTGTACCAGCCTTACGTCAAAAGACACATGTGGACATACTCAGTGCTATGTGCGGTGTTAAATAAACCATAAATACACCTGCGGTGCCAGAGGGTTGTGACAACCTGTTCACAAATAATATCCTCCATTAACCTTGAACTGCCAAACACCTCCATTCTTCACAGGTTGTATGCTTGTTGCAGGTCACTGATTCAAAATACTAAAGCCAGAGGGTCAAACACCAGCATTTTCAGAAGAACGGATCAACACTTGAAGCCCCCATCTTTTTTTTTTATGTAATGAGATGATTGTAAACAAAAGTAATACAATGCCATGTGTTCTGTGAGCAATTAGGAAATGTTACTAGACAGCATACCAGGTGCAAATGTTTACAACAACAGAATTGAAAATCAGTGCTCATTCACACAAGTGTCTAAAATGCTACGTTTAGATGCACAAAGTATCATTTTTTGTATGCATCTAGACACAGCAATACAGTAAACAATAAAGCTATACACATATTTAACCAATTCCATACCGGGCAATTTTACACCTTCCTGCCCAGGCCATTTTTCAGGTTTCAGCGCTCTCACACTTTGAATGACAATTGCGCGGTCATACAACATTGTACCCAAACTAAAATGTTATCATTTTCTTCACACAACTAGAGCTTTCTTTTGGTGGTATTTTATCATCGCTGGGGTTTTTATTTTTTGCTAAATTACCAAAAAAAGACCAAAAATTTTGAAAAAAAAGCCACGTTTTTCTTTGTTTCTGTTATAAAAGTTTGCAAATAAATAATTGTTCTTCATAAATTTAGGCCGAGATGTATTCTGCTACATGTCTTTGGTGAAAATAACCCAAATTAGGATGTATTATTTAGTTTGTAGGAAAGTTATAGAGTTCACAAACTATGGTATAGATCTGAATATTGATCAATCCTGAAGTACTGACAGCCAATCTAATTTCTTGAGGTCCAAGAATGTCAGAACAGTACAGATATCCCCCAAATGACCCCTTTTTGCAGAGTAGACAGTCCGACGTACTTCATAAGAGGAATGGCGAGTTTTTTTGAAGTTGTATTTTTTTGTCATAATTTTTCGGAAAATGAAAAAAATAAAAAAAATTTCACTATTTTTTTTTTACATACTGTCACCAGTGCAGTACAGCGTCATCATATAACTGGCATGGCGGTGAACAGGGACACTGACTGGTGACAGTGTAAAAAAAATATATATATATTTTTTTTTTTAAAATTTTTTTATTATTTTAAATTTTTTATTACATTTTTTTTCTTTTTTTTAAGATTTCTTTTTCATATTTCACTATGTCCAAAGTAGTACAATGTTACCATAGTAACATTGTACTACTTTCGCGAAGTGATCAGTATTTTTTTTTTTACACAATTTGCTTATAGCAAAGAATTACTTTGCTATAAGCAAGCATTTACCTGAATGACATCGATTCATTTAGGTTTTTTTTTTTTTTTTTTGGCTTAGCTGTGATTTGGCCACAGCTAATCACATGACATGTGTATGTGATCACTGTGACCATTCACAGCTAGACACTAGTATACAATGGATGGCATGAATGAAGCCATCCATTGTATACAACTGTCATGTGACCTGCTGTGATTGGTCACAGCAGGTCACATGGTACCGGCAACGGGGCCGATACTCAGATCTGTCATCGGCCGTGTCCAAGGTACACGACCGGTGACAAATCGCGCCGCTGCGCGGCTCTGCAAGCGCGCGAACTGTGCATGTGCGGGAGGACGCCATTTGGCGGCCTCCCGGAAAGCTAGTACATTTTTCAGGATGCCATTCAGCCATAGGCCAGGCGTCAAATGGTTAACATAGTGAAAACGAGTGCTGCGCTTAGCTGCATATTTTACACACATATGCATATAAATGTTAGTACCAAGTAAACACATGTAAATGCATGCACATAAGTCATTAGAAGAACTACAGGCGTCTAAAATAGATTACTTTAGGCATGTATTTTATCCAGGATATTCTGCTTAGCTGTGCTGGCAAGAACCCACATTTCATGCAGAAAGTACAGATACTGTATGTCCAAGTGAATGAAGCCTAAAACAAATGTTGAAACATTGTTTACTGAAGTAAATCAGTGGGTAAACCACCACAAAGATTCTCACCCTACAAAAAGCCAAAGCAATAGAAAGATGCTTTGGAGATGGATAAAAGGATGAGAGGCAGAGCATTTACATAATTAATAATACATCTAAAGAGATGTACATTTTGGAGATCTAGAAAGAAAATGAACACATTGTTTTAGCTGTGAGTAGTTCAAGATGAGATAAACCTCTGTATTTTGGAAGAACACTTGCAAACTGCTGTGAAACAAAAACATCAAAGTACAAATGGTATTAATCAAACTAAGAGACAATAATTACTTGGGAGAAAATGATTTAAACTTAACATTTTATTTTGCATAAAAACCATTAAGACTTTAGATGTGGTAAGCAAAAAGAGCACAATTAAATTCTCTTATAACACAACTGAGGAAATGAGTTAGGATTCCAGACTAAGGGTTGGTGTACACTTGGATTATGTGCAGGTCCAATGTATCATGTATTCACATATTTTCAGGTTTGAGATTGGGGTTGGTGTTTAACCGCCTCCCGCCCGCCGTATAGTAAAATGACGGACGCAAGGCGGTTCTCTCGTTCTGGGAGGACGTCATATGACGTCCTCCCATTCTAACCGCGCATGCGCGGCTCCGACAGCTAGAGAGGAGAGCCGGTAATCGGCATCCCTCAGAGGGGACATGTACACAGATCATCAGAGCACTGATGATCAGTGTGCCCTGATGATCTGTGTAGCCCCAGCAGTGCCGCCTGTCAGTGTCCATCAGTGCCAGCTGTCAGTGCTCATCCATGCCACCTGCCAGTGCCCATCAGTGCCACATTTCAGTGCCTACCAGTGCACATCAATGCCACATATCAGTGCTCATCTGAGCTGCCTTTCAGTGTCACCCATCAGTGCCAGTCAGTGCCACCTATCAGTGCCAGTCAGTGCCACCTATCAATGCCAGTCAGTGCCACCTATCAGTGCCAGTTAGTGCTGCCTATCTGTGTGCATCAGTGTTGCCTATCAGTGCCCGTCATTGCTGCCTATCAGTGCCGCCTAACAGTGCCAGTCAGTGCCGCCTATCAGTGCCACCTATCAGTGCCAGTTAGTGCCACCTATCAGTGTGCATCAATGCCGCCTATCAGTGCCCGTCAGTGCTGCCTATCTGTGCCGCCTAACAGTGCCTGTCAGTGCCGCCTATCAGTGCCATATATGAGTGCTGCCTTTCAGTGATGCCTGTCAATGCCCATCAGTGCCACCTACCAGTGCCTCATCAGTGCCCATCAGTGCCACCTATCAGTGCCCATCACTACAGCCTCATTAGCGCACATCAGTGAAGGAGAAAAATCACTAATTTAAAAATTATTTTAACAAAAACTAAGAAAAAACTTTTTTTTTCAAATTTTTCTGTGGTTTTTGGTTTAAGAAAAAATAAAAAACCCGGAGGTGATTAAATACCACCAAAATAAAGCTCTATCTGTCACAAAAAAATGATAAAAATTTCATATGGGTACAGTGTTGCATGACTGCTCAATTGTCATTCAAAGTGCAACAGCGCTGAAAGCTGGAAATTGGCCTGGGCAGGAAGGGGGTATAAGTGTCCTGTAGGCTAGTGGTTAAGAACATTTCTTGCCACCTTTATCCTCCACAAAGTGTCTTTTTACAGATCGCAGTGAAGTAACAATGTTATTTCCGCCACACAGGGCTCCTTTACAAAGCATTAAGGCCGACATGTTTGGGCAGGCTGAATGTACCAAGTTGATCGATCAACCTAGAAACTGGACGCCAATCACCTGCAGCACATGCTAACCGCTCCTGGATACCATTGCATTGGACTACAGATGTGCCTTAATCAATCTTTTAAAATGTGAGTGTTCATTTAAAACTTTGTTTACAATTAAATAATAATGATCTGCGCTCAGTGGCGCCTTCTTTCATTCCTTTTTTAATAGTTGAGATTCTCTGTAACCTTCAATAATGCTATATTTCCAGAAGGTGGGGGCAATTATATTTTTGGTGACTGCTTATTTCTAAAGCCCTGTAGATATGATTGTCAGTCTATATATCTTCATGATAACTGGGTCTTTTTGAAATGAAAGATGTTGTAAAGACTCAAGGTTTTTTTACCTTCATGTATTCTATGCATGAAGGTAAAAAAAAAAACCTTCTGTGTGCAGCAGTCCCCTCAGACCCCTAATACTTAACTGAGCCCAATCATGATCCAGTGATGTGAATGAGAGATTTTGGCTTTCTGGGGACTCGCTCTCCTCATTAGCTGATTGGTGTTAAATAGCCAGTGAGCCAATGAGAAGAGAGAGGGGGTGGGGCCAAGCTGTGGCTCTGTGTGTGAATAGACATGAAGAGAACCGGCGGCTCAGGAGAGAGCCTGCTTGGGTGCCCCCAGAGCAAGCTGCTTACTCTGGGGGCACCTGGCAGGAGGAAGGAGCCAGGAGAGTTGTCAGGGGACCAGAGAAGAGGAGGATTGGGGCTGCTCTGTGCAAAACCACTGCAAAGAGCAGGTAAGTATGACATATTTGTAATTTTTTTTTAAATTGCCTTTAATATTATTATTATTATACAGGATTTAGATAGCACCAGTTTGCTCAGCGCTTTACAATATAAATGGAGACAATACAGCAACGATACAGTGCAATACAAGAGGGTTAGGAGGGCCCTGCTCCTTGGAGCTTACAATCCAAGAGACTAATATCACGTTAACCTAAAAATGGGTGTTATGGATACAGCCCTTCCTCTCTAATGATGCAATATCTGCAAGGTTCCTCACTGGCACCAAACTCACTCCCCGCCTAATTCTGGGTGCAGGATCTTTGGCTGTCTTGATCAGCCAGCCAGATATTAACATTACTCCTGCGCATGCACACAGAGTGGAGTTTCAGCCTATTACAATGCCGGTTCCTGGCTAGGTGTCTGCAAACACATATGCACATATATTTAATGTGGATAATCACGTCTCGGTTTTACCACTACAGGGCGGGAGCTCTGCGCAAAATCACAAATATACTTTTCATTTCCAGGCAGGGGTGTGCGTGTGCGCTGCCCTACCCACGCGGGTACAGTTAACCCTTTGATCGCCCCAGATGTTAACCCATTCCTGCTCAGTGCCATTAGTACAGTGTCAGTGATTTTTATTAGCACTGATCACTGTATTAATGTCATTGTAAATGTCACAGGACGTTAGTTAGTTCCCACCCAATGTCAGTTAGTGTCAGAATACCCATCACAGTCTTGCTGATCGCTGCCATTACTAGTATATAAATAAATAAAAATGCCAGTATATATACCGCCATTTGTAGACACTATAATTTTCATGCAAACCAAATAAATATACATTTATTGGGATTTTTGACCAAAGACATGTAGCAGAATACATTTTGGCCTAAAGTGATGAAGGCAATTTTCTAAAAAAAATTTTATTGGATATGTTTTATAGCAATTGTTTTCTTTTTTTTAACATTGAATTTTTTTCTATTTATAGTGCAAGAAATATAAAACCCAGTGATGATCAAATATCACCATAAGAAAGTTCTATTTGTGTGGAAAATATGATAAAAATTTTATTTGTGTACAGTGTTGCATGACAACACAATGGTCAGTTATCGCAGCGCCGTATAGCAAAAAATGGCCTGGTCATGAAGGGGGTAAATCTTCCGGAGTGAAAGTGAAGAAACATGCATTTCATTTAGTTCACAGTGTTTGCTTGTAAAAAGTAACCTACCCAAAGTCATCTTGTATTTCAGCAACTTGATCTACCAAAATCTGCAAGCGGTCCCAACGCATTCTGCTGCATTCTTTATGGAAATCAAAAGCAAAATATCTGAAAAGAAAAATAAACAAACATTTTGTTAAAATAAACACAATAATATATTAAAAGGATCCTGTCACCAAAAAGTCAGGTAAATGCAGACAAAAATCAAGTATTTTATATGCTTACTTGTAGCATTTTTATTGAAAAAAAAAAAAAATGTTTTTCTTTTTTTTCCATTTGCAATGTTCAAGTCTGCTGGTGCTGCCAACATCAAACTCAAGATGGCATTGCCTAGCAGTAGTCTGATTTTGGATGTCTACACAAATACGTTAAATATACATATACAGTTTTCCTAAAAAATTTGCATACCCAGGCAGAAATTGTGAAACTTTGGCAGTGATAATGAAAATATGACTGATCATGCCAAAAATTATTTAAGAATTTTAGTAATCATATGAAGCCATTTATTATCACATTGTTGTAGGTTTCCTTTTTAAATTATGATAACAGAAATCATACAAATGGCCTTGATCAAAAGTTTACATACCCTGGAATGTTTGGCCTTGGTACAGGTCTTGGTGGGACGCTCTCAGACTTTCCAGCATGACACTGACCTTAAGCACAAGACCAAGTTGATCCTCCAGTAGTTACAGCAGAAAAAGGTGAAGGTTCTGTAGTGTGCCACGAAAGTCTCCTGACTTTTAATATCATTGAGACACTCTGGGGAGATCTCAAATGTGCAGTTCATACAAGATGACCAGACTCTGCATGATTTGGAGGCATCTTGCCATAACGAATGGGCAGCTAAACCTCCTGCAAGAATTCAGGGCCTCATAGACAACTATTACAAAAGACTGCATGCTGTCATTGATGCTAAAGGGGGGCAATATACAGTACTAAGAACTAAGGGTATGCAGACTTTTGAACACGGGTCATTTCATTTACAGTACTTGTTGCCATGTTTTGTTTTTATGATTGTACCATTCTGTTATGACACACAGTTGAATATGAATCCCATAAGAAACAAAATAAATGTGCTTTGCCTGCTGGTACATACTTACTGTAAATTACCAATTCTCCAAGCATATGCAAACTTTTCAGCATAACAAAAGAACAAGATTAAGAAAATACAAACTCAACAGTAACAGCATTGTGAGCATGCGCCATCCCTTAGCTGTCTACCACAATGAGATTTTGAGACTAGGCCAGTTTGTGCTATGGTTCCTCTAAAGGCAGACAGATGAGTAAAAATCACTTTAGTATGGCTACAATTATGAACAAAATCTTCAGATACAGTTAAAATGCTCTTTTACTCATTTAAGAGGAAGAACTTTCTCCACACTGCAGAAGTAAAATGCTTGTTTGGCAAGGACAGAAAGGAAAAGGAAGAAATACTTACTGTATTCCTTACTGTTCCAGCACTCTCCTCCACTGACCAATGCTCTGAAATGTGTATGAGCCCTCGCTGTCCTCCCATACAAGGCAGGACTGCTGGTCTTTCATTTCACACGATGACATCAGAGACTTGCAACTGGCTAAGCAATGAAATTGCTTTAAACGTCAAACCATCACCAGCCGTAACCTCCTCAACCTGAACCCGGCCCCTCTCCACTATGCAGCTGACCGTCTGTATGACAGTATCCTTCCACTGTCATGCCCTAACCTGGCCACTACTGCATATAACGACTCACTGTCAGCTGCCTTAGACTCCTTAGCACCCCTAACCACACATAGCATTAGACCCCGACCGTTTCAACCCTGGCAGAACGACCAAACTAAAAATCTTAAACGACACAGTCGCGCGCTGGAACGATTATGGCGCAAAACCAAATCCCCTCAAGAGTTCTCCCTCTACAAATCTGCCTTCCTCACCTACTCCTCCTCCCTCCATGCCGCCAAACAAGCCTACTTCGTAACCCTCATCAACACCCTCTCCACCTGTCCTCGCCGGCTCTTCTCCACTTTCAACTCCCTACTCTCTCCCCACCCTCCCCCACCCAGTACCTCACTCACCGCCCACGAGTGTGCCAATCACTTCCAAAAAAAGATCGACGCAATCCGTAAGGACATCGCCAATGCTCAACCTACCTCTCCACCTAGCCTCCCTCCCACTATAAGCCCATCAACTCTCCCCTCCTCTGACCTCGCAACCACCCTACCCCCCACCAAACCTAATGCCCCGCACACTATAACCTCCCCAACACTCCGCTCCTTCAGCCTTGCTACCACTGAGGAGGTCACTAAGATCTTCTCAGAAGCTCGCCTCGCCACTTGCCCCCTTGACCCTGTCCCCACACAACTCCTCCGGTCACCCTCCTCCTCCATCCTACGCTCGCTCACCCACATCTTCAATCTCTCCCTCTCTACTGGAGCATTCCCCTCCCCCCTAAAGCACTCGCACATCACCCCCATACTCAAAAAACCCTCCCTGGACCCCACTGACCTGAACAACCTTAGACCCATCTCCCTGCTGCCACTCACTTCCAAGCTCCTTGAGCGCTTAGTCTATAATCGCCTAAGCGCCCACCTCACTGACAACAACCCCCTCGATCCACTACAGTCTGGCTTCGATCCCCTACACTCCACCGAAACCGCCCTACTCAAAATCAATAATGACCTGCTAACCGCCAAAGCTAATGGCCACTACTTAGTCCTCCTACTCCTCGACCTTTCCGTAGCCTTCGACACAGTCAACCACCCCCTCCTCCTTAATAAACTACACTTCCTCGGCATCAGAGACTCTGCTCCCTCCTGGCTCTCCTCCTATCTATCCCAACGCTCCTTCAGTGTTGCCTATAACCCTACCACCTCCCCCTCTCTCCCCCTCTCTGTTGGGGTCCCCCAAAGCTTTGTCCTCGGGCCCCTTTTCTTCTCCATCTACACCTCCTCCCTCGGCAAACTGATACACTCCCACGGCTTCAACTATCACCTCTACGCTGATGACATGCAAATTTACCTCTCCACCCCTCGCTTCACCCCTTCAGTCCCCGCCCGTATCACCCACCTACTGAACGACATATCAGATTGGATGTCGCTCCATTTCCTCAAATTGAAACTTTCCAAAACCGAGCTCCTGATTTTCCCCCCCCAACCCGTGTGCCCCCCCCCCCCCTCCATCACGACCAACAACGCCACCATCAGCCCCACCCCACAAGCCAAAGTCACTCTAGACTCAGACCTGTCCTTCCAAACCCATGTCTAATCATTGCCAAACTCATGCAGGCTCCACCTCTGCCGGATCTCCAAAATACGTTAGTTCCTAACCCCAGACACTACTAAACTACTCGTTCACTCCCTTATTATCTCACGTCTGGACTACTGCAACTCCCTTCTCACCGGCCTACCTTATCGCAGGCTATCCCCACTTCAGTCTATCCTGAACTCAGCGGCCAGACTCATCCACCTTACCAACCGCTCCGCTTCTGCCACCCCCCTCTGTCATTCCCTCCACTGGCTTCCGATTGCCCAACGCATTAAATTCAAACTACTAACACTGACATACAAGGCCATTCATAATGCTGCCCCAAACTACCTCACCGACCTAATACCCAAATACCACCCTACCCATAATCTTTGCTCCTCACAAGACCTCCTACTTTCTAGCTCCCTGGTCTCCACCTCCCATGCCCGACTGCAGGACTTCTCCAGGACTTCCCCCCATCCTCTGGAACTCACTACCCCAATCCATCAGACTGTCACCTACCCTCCTCACCTTTAGGCACAACCTGAAAACCCATCTCTTCAGGGAAGCCTACCCCGCCTTCACCTAACAGCCAATCTCCTCCACTCCTCCTACCACTCCATCCCCCACAGCCACTTCCTCCTGTACCACTATCCCCTCCCTCCTAGATTGTAAGCTCGAAAGAGCAGGGCCCTTGAACCCCTCATGTTTTGTTTTGTTACTGTATTGCCTCATGTTCTGTCCCCCACTATAATGTACAGTGCTGAGCAAACCTATACAATACTGTATAATAATAATAATAATAATAAATGAAGCAGCTTTGGGGCTATTCACACAGACAAAAGGAAGAATGCAGGAGCGATGAATAAGGTTAGGACCATTCAGCTCATTTAGTGCTGTGGGGTCTAAAAATACTGTCACTGAACAATGTATGGGGATGGGCGGGGTGCTGTTGCAACAAAAACCACTGCCACTGATCACCAATTGGGGGGGGCCTCAATAGCGCTGCTACTGAGCACCAGGTGCACGAGGGGGGGTTAACAGCACTGCCACTGTGTACAGTTTGCTTGCTGTTCTGAGAAATTACCTAGGCTATGCACCTTCACACCTATAGCAACTTCCCTTTTCCAAAGACTGGGTAAAAAATCAGAATGTTTTCCCAGCTGGAAACATGCCCAAGAAGACACAGAAAATATCATTAGCAAATACCTGGAAGACAGAAGAGACATTTTGTACACCAGGGGGCATTACCAAGTAATGCTAGTGCCCATCTTTGGTGTTAAAGACTGTCTTCTAATTGTCCCCCCCCCCCCCTCAGAAATCTGAACATAATTGTGGGCCCACCTGAGATTGACCTTGTATAAAGTACAGGCCTCCTATATGTGGCTGAATAGTTAAGGCAGTGGTTCTCAACCTTCTAATGCCGCGGCCCCTTAATACAGTTCCTCATGTTGTGGTGACCCCCAACCATAAAAATTATTTTCGTTGCTACTTCATAACTGTAATTTTGCAGTGGGAGGACTAGCGCCCCATCACTGATGTCAGTGGGATGAATAGTGTCCCATCGTTGGTATCAGTGGGAGGAATAGTGTCCCATCATTGGTGTCAGTGGGAGGAATAGTGCCCCATCATTGGTGTCAGTGAGAGGAATAGTGCCCCATCATTGGTGTCAGTGGGAGGAATAGTGCCCCATCATTGTTGGTGTCATTGGTGTCAGTGGGGGGAGGAATAGTGCCCCATCGTTGGCGTCAGTGGGGGGAGGAATAGTGCCCCATCGTTGGCGTCAGTGGGGGGAGGAATAGTGCCCCATCGTTGGCGTCAGTGGGGGGAGGAATAGTGCCCCATCGTTGGCGTCAGTGGGGGGAGGAATAGTGCCCCATCGTTGGCG